TGAGACTCGAAAGTACATGAAGAATTCTAGAGGATTTGATCATGTAGATAGACAAAAGACTCGTGCACAGCGAGCTTACCGACAACTTCTGGACGCAGAAGCTTCGACACCTTTGCCGCCTCCATTTTACTCTGCTAGGTCCATAACCAAATCAGAAGGAACAGAGGTGAGCAAATATTGGACAGACAACGTGCCCGCATCGAAAATTTGCGCCTACTCGGATGGCTCTTCATAGGGAAACGGACGCTCAGCTCGGGGTTTTGTTTTGAAGAGATTCGGTAAAACTCTTCACAAGGAGAATGGTATCGGATACGGAGGAGAGGTCTTGGACGCAGAAATCACGGGGGCGCTAAAGGCTGTTGAGGCGGCACTGAGAATGAAAGAAGCGCAACAGCAGCTGGGGGAAACGATACGGCGAGTGAATGTGTTTCTGGACAGTCAGCATGCTGTAAAAGCAGTTGAGACGGGCATCCCTTCAACCAGCCTCGAAGAGGTGCGTCAGTTTCGCATACTCTCAACGTCAGCTGCTGTGACGATTAAGTGGATTCCCGGTCACTCTGGAATATAAGGGAACGAAGAAGCAGACGCCACAGCGCGCCTCGGCTTACGAATACTGCCCAGTCCGGACAACCAACCAGTATCTATTCCGTTAGCATACCTTCGCCGTCTCATGAATAACCGGCTACAGGCTTTGCTCAGCGATTGGTGGGATAAAGCTTGCCCTGTTCGGTATTGAAAGCTAGATCTGCTCATGAAACGGCGCAAGCCCCCTGAACTAGCCCTATCAAGGCATATACTCCGCGAACAAATTGCAGCCCGTATGGGACACGGCAATTTCGCGGCCTATCATCGCCGATTCAACAATGCAGACGCACCAAGTGAGTTCGCGTGTGAGAGAGAGACTTTCCCAACCCACTTTATACACTGTCGGCTCTATTCTCATGAAACACGTCGAATACAAGGCATAAAGTCCCACGACGACTTTATAAACCGACTTCTCGAACTCAAGTGCCTCGAAGACCTCAATAACTTTGCACAGAAATCCCTGTTGAAGCTTTGTCGTGGAGTGATAGATATAAGAGTGAGGTTTATGGGTCACGATGTATGAGATAACTGAGGTGCGGATGTATGAGTTCCTTACTATTGTTGTTGTACTAGTTAGGGTTGTAGTGTCTATAAACAAAAGGGATATCTCCATCTACAAGTGGGCTAGATCGCTTAAATCTGACTAGCGGCTTTCGCCATCCTCTTCCTTCTCCCCCGCATGGCATCACGTGCTATACAAGTACTGCTCACCATGAAGTCCGAGGATGAAAAGCGTTAGATTACAACAATCCCGATGTTATGGGTGGTCACCTCCAGATTTAATCCCTGCTCTTAGCAAGGCCCGAATAAATTAGTCATGTAACATGACTCGATCGGAAGGGAAACGAGGCGAGAAGTTTTGTGTTGTGACACGCAGAATATGGCAAGCAAGAACTCGAGGCTTAAAAGTTAATAAAGCTAATGAACAGAGCTAAGTCCACGAATTACATATATCCAAGTGTGTGAGATTAAGCGATTATTAATTAATAAGTCACCAGTGCCTCAATAGGTATTCTAATCCAACTCCATGTGTAAAAACTATATCCCCAGCCACTTAACATTTTGTATCCCTACCATAAGTGCTAAAATTAATTTGTAGTTCACAGTTTTGGAGCTGGAGTTCTGTCATGATTTATGATTTATGATTTATATATTGCTGCATGTAATTTAACTAGCTACTATTTATGCAGGGGCTCACGTGGTGGGAACAAACTGGGCGTATTATAGAATTGATCATAGCTGTGAACACTGGTCTTTGACCCTCAGAAGATAGCGGGTATAACCTAGGACTTGAAAATTAAAAAAAAACAATATTGGAGAAAAAGTATAGAAAATATGATTCAAATTACAAGAGCACTCATGCCTCATATTTCACTTGCAAATACCACTGCGAAGTTATGGCAGCCTTTTCTTTACTCCAACATAACCCTCATACACGAATACCTTATCAGGAAAAAGTCTCAAAAAGCCAGAGTTATTCAGACATACCTCTATCATCCATTGCCATTTCTCCGAGCGAAATGTGGTCTTAGGTGTCTCCTTCCCAAGTGGAGTAGGTGCCCAAGCTGCTCAAACTATACAAGAGAACACCACCATGCAAATGTGGCTGTGGCATGATAAATAAATTATTCAATTATCCTGATTTGGCGTAATTAGATCCAATCAGGATTTTTGGGTGTTTTTTCAGGTAAAATGACCCAATTCGACGTGTGGAACACTCATACTCAGATTTCAGTTTCAGATACCACTCGAGGTTAACTCTTACGGCGTACAGCATCGTCTGTGCATACAAATCACAGGAAAGATTGTGAAAGCCCTATGGTTATCTGAGTTTGCTTCAATCATCCTACAGTTACGATATCTCTGAGGTTCCTAGTGGATTGAAATGAGTGAAAAGTGAGATCAGCTTAGCTTTGTGATAGTGTGAGTTATGGGTGTCTCGTGGCTCCAAACTACAAATATGTACAGTAGAGCTCAGGACTAGATGTAACTTGATTTTTTATTAATACATGTTAGAATGTAGAATAATTGAGGCTATCAATTAGGCCACGTTGTTGGTACACACGTGACTACAAATTTTGTACTCAGTTTCACTTCGGTAGTTACTTGAATCAAGATGATGTACAACCTTAATGACTGAGGGGTTATTATTTCCTTAATAATACAGGGTATTGTCTATTAGAGTACAGTATTCTTTATCTTCGGCCCGGACTCCAGCGTGGAGTGTAGAACTGAACACCTGTACGCGGTGTCCTCTACGTAGCTGGTAGTGAAATATTCTTCCAGAGCCAAGTTCAGTCAAATTTCGCAATATCAAAGAAGTTGGCCCACTAGGCAATAATTCAGACTACTCCACAACGTCAATTTTTAACTCCCAGCGAGTTAGGCTCCTATGTAAGTCTCATCAAGTCTGCAAGTACGACCTAGTACATCTCTCGTCGAATTTCTCTAACCTCAGTTCGTCACAAAATACATGCCCTCGCCGAAATTTATTCCTGACGGAGAAAGCAAAGCGTGGCGCACAAATCTGGGAGACAGTTCTTTGGGGTGGACGTGAGAGTGATGAGGACAAGTTCATAAGATGATGCAAAGGATGGATACATTCTCGACGAGCGTGAAATTTCGAATTTTGGCAAAGAGCTTTACGAATTGAGCTTTGTGTGCGCCAAGACTTCGCATGCGAGAGTGCAGCTGACACTATAAACACAAGCCAACGATGGAAGGTGACGTGATCCGCCTCCTGATGGCGCTCTCTGGCATAGTTTGAGCAGCTTGGGCACCTACTCCACTTGGGAAGGAGACACTTAAGACCAGATTTCGCGCGGAGAAATGGCAATGGATGATAGAGGTATGTCTGAATAACTCTGGCTTTTTGAGACTTTTTCCTGATAAGGTATTCGTGTATGAGGGTTGTGTTGGAGTAAAGAAAAGGCTGCCATAACTTCGCAGTGGTATTTGCAAGTGAAATATGAGTCATGAGTGCTCTTCCTTTACGTTGAATCATCTATGCTGTACTTGTCTTTGATATTGTGTCATAGCTAGATAGCTGCATACGCAATTAAAATCTGATGCAAAAAAAAAAATACTATTAGGAATCTATTGGGAAATACTATGTCACACCAATGAGTGATGATCTAGGTCAATCATATCCCATGGCGCATGTGCACATTATTCTAATGTGAACAGTTTATTGTAATGCAGTCATGTTACTCCCTTGATTACAACACCAATCACGTCCCTTCTATCGACCCCAACTGTCATGGTGAGACATTCTTGAAGCAGAGTCTAAGCAGAAGGCCTGAGGATAAAGTTGACGGAACAGGATTTTGGGCTCACCCTCAACACTTGCACTTATATGGTGAGACTAGATAATGAGCCAACTGAAATTGATATGGTTGAGGTCACAGTTTAAGTTATGATGGGAAACTACAACAGTCTTAGTTGAATTGTGTTAGATAGTTATTTGTACTGAAGCAAGCTGGAGCTACAACTAAGTAGTTCTCCAGCTTCACAATCTTATAATACTATTACAGTATTCCTCTCGCAAACCTGCTTCCTTCTAGCCATAATACTTCGTCGACTTCCCACCTCTCTAGTATTCACCACCTGACCTTTTCATACCCTCGGCGATCTTAATCTAACCTACGGCGCAATGTAACACCAACCTTGTACATGTTCCGTCTTGTTCCCTGAGCAGCATTTCAACTTTATTAGTCATGCGGAATTGCTCTATCCAACCATTACTAAGAATCCATCGTGTCATTCTTTTCATATCGCTGGGATTTATGGTTATTGCTTCAAAGAAGCGATATCGGGCTTTTCTCCAGATTTCTTCTCTACCAATTTACCACTTAAGGCAGGACATGATCATGTGCTTGGGATTTTGTGGTTGGTAGCCACACGGACAACTTGAGCGATAAACTCCTAGTACTTTTCTACTGTTTAAATAAGAATTGAGCCCGATATGCTCGCTTCGAATTTGGATCGCTTAGCTACTTTGGTGTACAACTGTAGAGGTGCCATACTTTATAGCTTATCGTTAGCTACCAGGCTATGTAATTATTTAGATTCTTTGAAAATGCCTAGACTATTCAAGTTTTTAACCAGGACATGACCCTCAGTGTGCATTGGTTAATATTTTGCATGCCAATTTTCAAATTCACTATCCTGTTTTAATGCTATTTAGATGGCTATAGTAGTCCTTTACAATCATAGACTCAGTAGAGACTTAAATTCAATTCTGCGCTATTCAAGTTCTTTGATAAAATTATTGGTCTAATGGTTGGAACCTTGATCGTTTTAGTTGTTGTCTAGTACTCTCTCTCTCTCCTGCACAAGCCTTTAATTCCGATATAGAATAGTTCTTAAACCCATCTATTGACTATCTCCTGCAAATCACAATGGCCTACATTAGTTCAGCTAATAGTTACTCTATTCGTCTTTTTTCGTGATGTGACTGGTTCCCTGTTAGTTTCTCTTTTGCGTTTGTTCTCTTCAGGTATTTTAGATCTGTTCTGTTGCAATTTTTGAAACTGTTCCTCTAGGGTAGTAGCCCAATCTTGAGCATGCAGGCCTATTCGCTGATGTATTTGACGACTACGTGGTTCTGTTTTGTCTACTTTTTTCAAATTCATCACGTCATCACCACACGCCATCGCTTGCAGAATCTGGTAGTGCCAATGGAGAGAGGGGTTTGGGTATTTCATGGGGTCATATATTCCCCCTGGAAGTTGAAGCTGCTGTACAACACGACGCATTTTATCAATGAGAGAATCAGATGCTTTGGGTGTAGACGAAAAGTTTGGAATGCTCCGAATATCATCAGCAAATGGTAGAGTATAAAGCCAGAGACCTGCTGAGAATATCTGTGATTTTGAACTGCTATGAAACTCCTTAGAGGGTATGATAGCTACAAGAGAGGGTGGGGTGTTGATTTTTGGGATATACCAAGCGATCCCCATGATTTCGCTGCTTAACAGTTTTTTCCATAGAGCCGAAAAAATGCGCGTAGAGCCTCTATACCCCTCCTCAGTCGGGTAGATAAATATAGATTTACTTATTGATGCCCAGAATGGAAGCATTTTTATGGGCTTAAAACCAATGATACGTAGAATTGGCTTTTCAAAGAATTTGATTGTTTCGAGCTCTTTTGATGAGAAAAATACTTGTGAGCCACCAAAATTATAAGCCATCTTGATATCTGACTTGCTAACTGATACCCGAGCATCATCAGTGTAGATGTTGCCCTGAACATTTGGAATATGCAACTGTTCACCATTATCATAGACCCAGCAAGTTCTGGGTAATTTATGGGGATGAATTAGGTTAAACCCCTTTATAGAGATTGTTAGACCAGAACCAATTTCGAATGGCAAGTTGAAAAATAGGATATGCTTATCCGCTTTGTTTGACCTTATTTCTGAAACTAACTTTGCTAAAAGAGAGGCTGGATTTCCCTTGTCTTCTACATCAAATTTCGTGGCCAAGACTGTACTTGCGATATCTTCCATAGGCTCATAATAGATAACATCCTAAAGTCGTCAGTGGTTATACGAGTAATTTCAGCCAACAAACATCATAAAACTTTGATCTGTCAAATTGATGACCCTGATTTGAAATTGGTAGAATTTCCAGCTTAATTTTTGCATCATGAAGACATTTAGCCGTTTCTGTGGCTAAGGACCTAGATTTATCATCAAATTCATGAGGGTTATCTTCATCGGTGATTACAAAGAGACGTTTTGACTCATATTTTTGAGCATATTTGGTAAATATCTGATTGGCTAGATAAAAAAGGTCCGCAATAAGTGCTGGTTGCGTACTCGGGACTAAAATATTGCGTGCTTGATTCTCATCGCGTGCCAGGGCTCGAAGCACTTGGAGGTTTTCGGCTGATGGAACATCTAAGTTACTGAGAAGATAGCAATGAGGATGAGCTAAAATCCCTTGATCGTATTCGTTGTTATCCTGGGGCTTGGATATCTCAGTGCCGAACAACAATACGCCTATTTTGTCCTTTGGACAGGATATGGTCATACTTTGCATGATTTGGCATGCACTCTTAATAGCAATAATTGTTTGACTGTCTTCTCCAAACTCAGACCAAAGCATACTTTCACTGACTTCAATGGCAAGGATAACTGCATCTTTTTGAACCATGTAATTCTAGGGCAGTTAGTTGAAGAGGATGAGCAAGTCATGATGCTAGTATACAGTTTCGACTGAATCATCTTCCTCATCCTCATTATCGCTAACTCTTTCAAGATACATATCCGACATTATGTTCTGTCGTCCTCGGCATATAGTTAGGCTGATTTGACAACGCGTCGCGCTACGGCCCAGTGGGATTGTATTGGATGCCATCACTTAAGTCTCACGTGATATTAATCCTATCACCGCGTAATACATATCCTTGTACAATTTATTGTACTTAGCAAACATCATCCACTTCATCACGAGATAAACTAATGAACGAGATGGCATATTTCGGTATCGCAACGCTTCTAAAGAGGTCACGAGCTTGTCAAATTCCGAGCAGCATCAACAAGTCTCTTATCTCTGCAAGACTTGCTGATCAACAAAGACACATTTCAGTATCTACTTCTGGGGATACAAAAGTGGATGTAGGGTCCCATGGCCCTACCGCAATGGTTTTTATGAATATGGGCGGGCCATCGACAACAGAAGAAGTGGGAAGTTTTCTCAGTAGGCTTTTCGTGAGTTATCCTTAAAGGCCTTTTCCTCTTATTAACATAACTTATAGGCAGATGCCGATTTAATTCCGCTCGGCCGCTTTCAAAATTACCTTGGACCTTTGATCTCAAGACGAAGGACGCCGAAAATTCAGAAGCAGTATCAAGCGATTGGTGGTGGCTCTCCGATCCGAAAATGGTCTGAGTACCAGGCTTCAGAAATGTGTAAACTTCTGGATAAGACATCTCCGAAGACAGCCCCTCACAAACCTTACGTTGCTTTTAGGTATGCAAATCCCTTGACTGAGGAAATGTACACACAGCTCCTATCAGATGGATTTGGAAATGGTAACGGCGGTAGAGCCGTAGCGTTCACTCAATATCCCCAATACAGTTGTTCAACCACAGGAAGTAGTCTCAACGAACTATGGAAGTGTAGACAGCGCCTTGAGGGTAAAAATTCCGCCGGCTCTACTTTAAATGGAGCCGATGGAACGATCAATTGGAGTGTAATAGATCGATGGCCGGTTCATACAGGACTCATCGAAGCTATAGCTCAAAATATTAAGAAAAAACTTTTGGAATATTCTGAGGATCAACGCGATAAGGTCATACTTCTCTTCTCGGCTCACAGCTTACCCATGTCAGTCGTAAACAGAGGTACTTATTTAATTCACAATCTTAAGTAGATTCTAACAACTTCAGGCGATCCATACCCAGCTGAGGTTGCAGCTACTGTTAATGCTGTTATGCAAAGGCTAGAGCATTCGAACCCATATCGATTAGTGTGGCAATCCCAAGTTGGGCCTTCAGCCTGGCTTGGAGCCCAGACAAGTGACACAGTCACAAATTACATCTCTAAAGGAAATTATAACATGATACTAGTTCCAGTGGCGTTTACTTCAGATCATATCGAGACTCTTTATGAGTTAGACCAGGAAGTAATCGGTGAATCGGGGCACCAGGATACCGTAAAGAGATCTGAGAGCCTTAACGGACATCCTGTTTTTATTCAAGCTTTGGCCGACATTGCAAAAGCGCATTTAGAAAGCGGAATAAGTTGTAGTAAACAGATGGGACTGAGATGTCCAGCCTGCAAGAGCAACAAATGTGCCGAAACGAAAAAGTTTTTTGCAAATCAAGCATAATCAACTTCATATGTATACTTTGTCAGTGACAATGTGTCGACAACTAGTTACGTTTTTCGGTTGAAATCGAGAAAATATAAATAGGAAGATCAGCGTCGTAAATTAACGGCAGCGAAAAGAAACCTCATGTGTTGACATCTTGTCTCAACGAAAAGGTGTTAAGAATCATAGCTCCTCGTGGATTACAATTCCTGGCAAGCTGATTGTAAGTTGGCATTCTAGGCAGGCGAGTTAACTCCACTGCTTTAGACATTAGCCGACTAACTTTAATGTACAGTCAAAGATCTCTACTCGCTTTAAGTCAAGGTCAGGGATTTTGAAGTCTGTGCCCCACGGATACAGGGTACTTCGTGCGTTTTTCGAAGTCTATTGTGACTTGGCATTTTGGCTAGTGGTAATTCACACCGTCTTTTTGTCAGGCAACGCTGAAAGAACATTTGTCAGCTTATGTACTCATAGCAATGAAATATTACACAATATAAACCTGACGTGCATTCTCCGGTTGATTTAGACTCTAGGTTCTCGTCAATACCAACATAAAGTTACTTGCCATTCTAAAACTGAACATTCCGTCTGTGCAACCTCCGGAATCAACATAACAACTATCATTCCCCTAACTAATATGCCGCTAAAAGATCTTGAGGAACCACAATTTGGGACAAACATAGTTGAATTTCCCTTCACGGCAAAACGGCAAAAATTGGATTCCTCCAAAAGTGTTTGTACATCAGATCCGGAGGTTTACGACTCGGAGATCGCACCCTTGCTCGCAGAAAGTAGGTCAAGTGCGATCCCGACCTATGGTGTCTCGGATTGCCGCCGACAGGAGGGACATGATGAATATGAGAGAATTGTTTGGTTTAAAAAGCCTTCAGTGAGGCTCTACATAGATAACTGGCAATATAAAACTGACAATAATTTTAGCCCTTTTGGCTTTTGCCTCCGTTTTTTATTTTTTCACTATCTTCAGGAGTAACCATCGTCCCACACGTTAACTTATTTGTGTCGTTAGTATGCAGAAGTCATTTCATCCAAAAATCTGCCGGCAATCTCAACACTGCTTATCTTGACACATATGATAATTATATGTGCCAAACTCCTGAGATCCAGTCAACAGCCATCAAATTCTCTCTGTTAATGACCATTACAGCCGGAATGTTTGGAGCTCTCATGTCCCCAAAATTGGGAGCCTGGTCTGATCGTCATGGTCGTCGGAAGCCTTTGATAATCAACTGTTTGGGTGCGACTATTACAGAACTGCTCATTATTATAATAGCAACTTACCCCATGTATTTTGATTATCGCTGGTTGATAATTGCGGCATTTATTGAGGGGATAACCGGATCATTTACCGCTGGCTTTGCCATTACACGAGCATACGCAACCGATTGTACAGTTCCTACCAAGCGCGCCGTAGCACTTGGTTACTTCCATGCCTCTCTATTTTCTGGAATCGCCCTCGGTCCACTCCTATCTGCTTTCCTAGTCCGACAAACTCAGACTATAATCTCTGCTTCCTATGCTGCCGCGGGGATTCGTACAGCGTATATCTTGTTTGTTCTCTTTGCTGTTCCTGAATCTCTAGTTGAGAAACGCCAGATGGAAGCGCGTGAGCAGCATTTGCTCCGAGCCAAATTCGCGGAGTTAAAGAATGAAGAATCGTCTTGGTGGAAAGATGCACTGAAAAACATCAACTTTTTAAGTTCTTTACGAGTTCTCTATCCCAAAGGGCCTGGAAGCTCAAACGCCCTGCGCACGAACCTAATTCTTCTCTCTGCTATTGATACAATACTTTATGGAGTCACATTGTGCGTGATAACAGTTACGATATACTACTTAGGCTATCGCTTTCAATGGAATACTTTTGATTTAAGTATATTCACCTTTTCGATCAACGTCTGCCGCGTCTCCGCTCTTATTCTAATTTTGCCGACACTTAATTACCTCATACACACTCGTCATTCTAATCATCAACGTAGTCTCATCGGACAAAGTTCACAACCCGACTCAGGTTGCACTACTTCCGATCTTTGGATAATCAGGTGCAGCATCTTGATTGAGGCTATCGGCTTTGTTGTGTATGCCATCACCAAAAATAGCTCGTTGTTCGTCGCTGCGGGTATAGTGGGATCCTTAGGCGGTATGGCAGCTCCGACAGTACAGAGCGCGTTGACAAGGCATGTGTCTTCAGACCAAGTTGGCAAGCTGCTAGGCTCTGCTGGCCTATTGCATGGTTTGGCAAAAATACTGTTTCCACTATTACTCAATCTTGCGTATGCCGAAACTGTGGCCAAGCTTCCACAAGCTGTCTTTTATGTTTTAATATGTTGCAATGGAACGGCAATTTTGCTTAGCCTGAAAATTAAAACTAATGGTGAGAGTATTTTATGTTATTGACACTTTTCTAACGGGATACAGTTCACGTTCCCATTATTTCTGATGCAACAAAAGAATGCTCGATGCTGTTACCACGGAGTAATATACCTGAGGCTAATAATCCCAGGCGATCAAGATCGAGTACTCTGTTATAAACTGTACTGATCATTAAATAAACACCTCCACGCAATACAAGTCTAGGTGGCATGTTTCAGTGCAATCTTGGGTATTTACTTATGTACATAAATGTGGGATGAGGAATGGCGTTTCAAGAACAAGTTGTACTTGTGTGGGAAGATTGGTCTTCAAAGGGTTTTACTTCATGAATAAACGATACCAAAGTTTTTATGTTTTGTCAATTTACATAGGATGAGAAGGGTACAAAGGAGCATATTTGCTTGAATTGAATTTATGAAGATTTTTGGTCACAATTGATTATGATTGTTTTATTATCCAACAACCTTTGGGGTGGCGAGTCGAAGCTTGGACAAACAGTACCTAGTAAGTTATCTAGAGGGATGGAAGCCTGTGCTTACTGCCCTGGTTGCATGGTTCCTACTCATACCTGACTCGGGATGCCGGACTATATATACCTAAGGTTACGATGATGTATGGCAGAGCTCATACAGTATATGTAGCACACCTCATAGATTTACTAAATATTACATTTTTGGGCTTAGGCTTCCTGGGTCCTAGCTACTTCTACATCTTGCTTTGCAAAGACTTTTAGCATGCGCCTCTAAGTCTCGGCAGGTAGACTTGATTATGGAGTTCGGTCCGCAATCATCTATTTTCGTATGTTTCGTGAAACATGGCACGTGACACTGGAAGCAATTCGTTGAATTACGTAAATACGGCGTGACACATACCCCGCCCCGTTGACATTAACGTGTATAAAAATGGAGATTATGCTCGAATCAGCATTTCTGCTTAGTCAGTTTACCCAGCAGATGCAGGGTAGCCTTGTATAGCCCAGGTCGCAGCGAGCCAATCTGGCTAGACTAGCTGGGTGAAGCCGGATGACTTGTGTATCTGATGGCAGGCGTGCGAAACTGGCGTTTCCAGATACGTGGAGGCTCTTGAGGTGGCTGTGCGTCTAGACAAGGGCGCGAGCTGGCTGACAGATTACATTTGTTCTCCAGACCGTTGGTGATCCCAGTGCTTAGGCATGATGATCTCTAACCGTAAGTGGATAAATACAAGGGCGCTACTCAGGTGTAATAGACTAGGAAACATTTGGAAGGTATTGTTCCATGAGTGAGAGGATGGATAGCCATCTGCTAACTTTAGACTTCGATACAGATTATACTACGAATCTGATATCGTCAGGTATCGTTCATGCCTCACGATAACAGTCTCATCTTATCTATCAGTAACCACAACGTCAGGTTATGCCCCCCTTGTGTGTAGCTGCAGCTAAGATTCTGATAAGGCTTCTTGAATGACTAGCTCAGGCGCAGAGAGATCTGCACGCTAGAATACTGAGTGAAGCAGGTCAGGGTGTTTAGAGAGCTGAGATGAACCACCGCCGAGGCGGATGGCTGGACATTTGATGGGCAAGGGACGAGACGAGCCTAAGTCAGTGCGCTGTAGACGCCGGCAGAGACGGTAGGCGTGGGTAGAGCTGGCTTGGCTTTGAAGTGATGCCAACTACCGTTTCTAGCACACACTGCGGAGTGACGTGTTCCTCTGCAGCGCTTGGTCAAGCGTTTTGAAGTGACGACTACCGTCATGGCGCCAGAGCTGACCACTTAACCATAGGTTTCACGAGGCCTGCGCACGCCGACATGATTGCGCCATCTTTGTCGCGATCCATTTGCTCGGCTCACCGTTCATCGTCATTACCGCTGCTAGAGATCAAATGGCTGGTTAGAAGCCTGCGAGACACACAGTCAGGGTCAGACGAACGGATGGGTCGAGCTATTGTGGGCCACTGGAAACCTCGCCATCTCCCCCCATATCTGATGGAGGCTCTCCTGTTCCGAGACACGACTTCCGTTATTGGCCACTCCGGCACATGTCTTCGTGTGAGCTACGCGCCTTGTGGGTCATCGACGACCAAAGCCTTACCTAGCCGAGTCCGAGTCCGGCCGCTATGTGGGAAGAATTTTAGCTGACCTCCCTGTCGTGTATACTGTTTTCATATTTCACCCTGAGTCTATACAGGACCTTCTAGACCCCTCTACCTACTGGCTAAGGATACTTTTACCTCCTATACGGCTCCATTCACAAGTCCTCATTCGATCATGCACTTACAGAAGCTCTTTTCCCTTCATTATCTCCCCTCCTCAGCCAATGAGACAATGGCCATTTGCGGGTGTATGGCAGCCGGGAAATATCGCATAAGCACTAGCTATGGGTCTCTGATGAAACCGACGTCAGAACCAGATCTGAAGACATGGCTACCCTTCTGAAGCGGTCGACGAGGCTGGGTCGACCCCCTTGGGCAGCACAATAGTAGATGCAAGGACGATGAAGATCTGGCAAGCGGAGGGAGGCCGTATCTTGTTCAAACTGCAATCCCTACAACTCACTAAATTGTATTCAGCTATTAATCTACTTAGCCAAGATGCATAGCTAGCGTCCGATGGACGTTGTCAGTGCATCATTTGACATCTGAGACTGAGGTGTGCAGGATTCCGTGGGTTGATCTTTGTCCGTGTACATGCGCACCAGCGGAAACTTCCCACATCAGGGACATGCAAGCATGCCTCATCATGAGCCCAGTAACGGTGCGATAAGTTCTCAGGCTGCGCCAACATCGAGCTGGTCTCCCAACTAGATTATGGATAGCTGAGATAGGAGACCGCTGGTTCGAATCCAGCAAAAAAAACAAACTCTTTTCTCGCGGTGTAAATTAATATGGATGTCAAAGGCACGCTTGGTGTCATGTAGAGACATGATTCATTCATGAGTTGATATTGTTCAGATGATTATGACTATATCACAACGTCATGTACAGACACGATTGTTGTGGTTATGAGCTATGCGGAAGTCACATTGCGGAGTGATGAGGAGTGGTTGATGTTATAATTTGTGGTTGACAGTGAGTAGCCTCATACAATACTATGCTGTAGGTATATGGACAGAAAGTATAAGACTAAACCTGTCTCAATTTATTGTGGGTACATCTATGAAACTATATACATGCTCGCCTAACCAGTACACTAGTGATGTATGCTGTGGCCTTGAGCCACACGCAATGCCCTAGCCTCGACTACCTCGTTGTCTCATATCATAACAACGATTCATTGTTTGTACCTGTTGTATCAACCATGACTATGTCTCAGTGATAGGAGAAACATTATTGGCTAGTTACTAGGTACCTAGTCAATGGCTGCAAAGGACAGTTTAACCATTTCCTTATACTTGGACAATCAAAGATTGAGAATTTCCCTTTAGTGGGTATTTAAGAAGGAGGGCTGGTTATTTGTGTAAGCTGTTAAACATTAGTGCGGCAGATCGATTTTTGTGTAGCAACTTCTCAAGAATGAGGGTTTGGCAGTGTTCCACGGGGTGCGTTGTATAGCCTAGCGAAGATCTAGGTGGTAAGTGAAGATTATAAATGGGTCAAAGGGATGATAGGTATTCTCTAGGAAGAGATGAATGGGCAACTTGTTGCAGTAGATGTTACACGTGGGTCTTGCTGATGAAGAACTGGGCAATGGATAAATGGTATTCCCGAAGAAGAGATGGGTAAACAAATGTATTGTAAAGGGTAAATAAAGAAGACGTTGCGTGAGAAGTAAATCTATCTCACGCCGAACTATTATATACAAGAGTAGAAGCCTTTGACAGCCGAAATTAATCATAATCAATTCTTGCCAATATCTTCGCATTGATGGCTGTGTTCTTGTCCTTCTCTTCATGACTCTCTTGCATATCCTTACATGACGTTTTACACGACTAATTGTATAGGGGAAGCTATTATTAAATTGATGGTTTTAATTAACTACCCCTTCATCTTATCACGAATTAATATTAGTATTAAAATTCTATTTACGGATCCGTGAAACAACTTCATTACAAAATCTACTTCCTCTACCCTCACGTGATGCTTACGACTTGGTCTGAAACTACCTATTTCAATAAAAGCAAACATACCTCGTGGGGGCACTCACAAATGAAATCCAGACTACGAGTGTCTCTAACGTCAAAAGAGTCATCCAATATGTAAACATAGCAATGGTCATGTGCCTTGTGCTATTGCTAGATAGCTGAATACACGATAAATTATAAAAAACAAGAAATTGCAGTCACCATGTTCCGTCAGGGATGAGACTTTAGTTGTAACTGGCGCTCGGTATGCATAAAAAAAAGATATATGATTCTCCAGAAAAAAAGATCGAGGCCCGCTCAACCCTGTTAATTTTAGCAGGGGTGGGCGTCCGCAAAGTGTCCCACTGCACCACGCGACCTAAGTGCCTTTACTACGCCATGATTGACACCAGGTCGAATTTTTTCTATATAATATCTTTGAATTTGAATTCTCTTTTTTTACATCAGGAATTTGATTTCATTATCCTGATTTGGCACCCTGTGGACCCATGCGGCCCATAACTTCGCAGTGGTACTTGCAAATGAAATCTGAGGCATGAGTGCTCTTCCTTTACGTTGAATCATCTATTCTGTACTTTTCTTTGATATTGTGTCATAGCTAGATAGCTGCATACGCAATTAAAATCTGATGCAAAAAAAAAGGGCCCATGCAGGTGTCTACAGTCAATAATATTAACCCGGGAGGAAACTCTTATGGTGAAAACCTCCCACACCTTTCTACTTCTTGTCTATAGTTCTCACATATTTTCTTCAGGAAGCGCAGTTACGCTATAGTCCCATCCACGTAAACCAACCAGATCATCTCTATCCACCCCAAGCATTATTTGACCTTTTCCTTTCCCTCAGCAGTATTTCGACCGCCTTTTTCATCTGAAATTGCTCTATCCAACCATGGTTTAGGATCCACTGTGTTATCCTTTTTATATCTCCAGGATTGTTTATCATCGCTTCGTAGAATCGATCTTTGGCTTGTATCTAGGTCTCAGCTCTACCATTTGACCATTGAGGGCAGGAAATAATCATATGCTTGGGGTTCTGTGATTAGTAGCCGCATGGACAACCTGGACTTCATACTCCAGGTACTTTTCCTCCTTGC